GGTAGCGTGATTCCTCCTGCTTTGTTTTTATTCCTGAGTAATGTCTTGGCTATTCGAGGTTTTTTCTGATTCCATATAAAATGAAGTATTATTTTATTTTTTCAAGATCTTTAAAATATGACAGTGGGGCTTTAATAGGCCCTTTTCTTTATAGGAGGTTGAAGTGTCTCACTGATACTGCCACCATCTCTATTTCAGGTGTTTTCTGTTTGTTCTTTTTTGTTTTCACTTGAACATTTTTTCTGCTGCAGACCAGATATCTTCTTTCCTGGGGCAGCTGCTCTCATCTTCCCCTCTGCATACTGCTCCTGATTGGCTTTTTGAAGTTGTTGACTGTTTCTATAGATTGATGTCCACACATTTGAGTACTTTGCTCTCTTGTACCCATTCATCCCAATTTTTATTCCAACAACTATAATATATAAAGTATTTCACTTGTTTGTCCTTTACGGCAACCTTTACACACTTTGCTTCATAAAGAAGCAGCCCATAAAAACACAATACTCAATCATCCTCCTGGAATTTAGACTTCAGGTCCTGCTTTGGCACCATTTATAAGTGAGTGGCCATTTCCTCCTTCTCCCACCATCCACAACTACCTCTCCCACCCAACTCTCTATTCTCTACTCTCTACCCCATCCAACTTCTATTTTATCTTAAATGTCACTTCACCTACCCACTGAGCACAGGTGCCGCCTTCTGTTCCATTCTTTATCTCTCTCCTTTTAAGTTCCCATAATGTATAGGTTGGCCTACTTGTAGATGTTCCTATAAGTTCCTGAGCCCTTCTGTTCTTTTTTCTTTTTGTTCCTCACACAGAATAATTTCAAATGACCTGTCTTCAAGTTTGCTGATCCTTTTCTAGCTTGATCAAGTCTGTTGTTGATATACTTTAATAGTTTTTCAATTCAATATTTTTTTGCTCCAGAACTTGTTATAGTTTCAAATTGTTGATATTCTCTTTGTTCATTCGCCATTTCCCTGATTTTGTGCAGTTTTTCATTTGCCTTCTAATACCTTGAACTTTGTTAAGATGATTATTTTGAATTTTTTGTCAGGTAATTCACAGATCTCCAGTTCTTGGGGTAGGTTTCCAATGTTTGATTTCCTTCTTTTAATTGGGTCATGTTTTCTGTTTCTTTTTCTGCCTTATTTTTGAATTTTTGTATTTGAAAAAAAGCCACTGCTAGAGTGACTTACTATGGGAAGTCCTTTAGGAATCAGTACAAGTATAGAGATACTGAAGGCCTCTCAAACATTTTATGAGGGTGTGTCTTCTCTAGGTTTGTACATGTAATTTCCCAGCTAGAAAAGTCTGCCAATTTGTTTTTCAAACTGTTTGTAGTCTCTTGCTATCTTCAGTATTTGTCTGTAGCTTAGCAGGTTTTCTGATGTTATCAGCCATTAAACTTTCTTCTTGTTCTCAGTTGCTCCCTGGCAACCAAAGTATGACAGTTCCCTTCCAGTGCTCTTAGTCAGGTGAGACAGTAACTAATTTTGTGGGCATCCTGGTAAATCCAGAACACTGGGTGTAAATTACACTCTTCCCTTTCTTTTCCAAAGGATAAGCCATGAGTTGCAATTTTCTTCCTGTTTGTGGGCTATGCCAGCTTGGTAAAGGGGTTGAAATGATAATGCTTTTCTTACCCATTTTAATGTGGCTGGTTTTGGCTTTGAGTTTTCCTGGGGTATAGCTTCCTAAATGGTTTCTGGAATTTTATAAAAGCTTTTTCAACCATATATTGTTGTTAAGTTAGTGCATCTATGGAGAACAAGGTCTATGGCTTTCTATTCTGAGACTTGCTAACATCACTCTCCACCGGTTATTTTCCATAGCTTTTTCTATCTTTTACTTTCAACCTGCCCATACTGTTATATTTGAAGTTAGTATACTGTAGAAAGAATATAATTGATCATGTTTTTAAATCCACTCTGCCAATCTGTATACGTAGGTGGTTGCATTTAGCCTATTTACATTTAATGTAACTATTGACATCTTAGGGCTTATGTCTGCCTTTTAATTTTTTTGCCATTTAATTTTTTAATGCTTTTTTTCTTATTTTCATGTTTTGTCTTTTTATACCTTCTTATTGAATTTAGTACTTCCATTTTTGATGTGTCAATAATGTTTCTGAGAGCATTTCTTTTGCTAATTTTTTAGTGGTTTATTTAGGTATTATATTGTATATTTGTATCTTATGACAGCCTATTGGTGTCATTACCAGCTCAAGAAAAATATAAAAGCCTTAACACCCTTTACATCCTTTTATACTTTCCATTTATAACTATGATATATATATTTCCTTATAAACATTTAGAATTAGATGAGACATATTACTATAGTCTTTGCTTCAACCACAATATACTTTTGAAAACCCAAGGGAAGGAAATCCTATTGTACTTATCCATACTTTTTGTCACTGTATTCTTTCTTGGTATTCTAAGGTTTCTTATTTTTTTGTTTTCTTTCTTTGTAGGGGATTTCCTTTAGCCTTTTTTGTTTGTTTTTTTGTGAGACAAAGTCTCACTTTGTTGCCCTTGGTAGAATGCCATGGCAGCACAGCTCATAGCAACTTCAAACTCTTGGGCTCAAGCGATTCCCTTGCCTCAGCCTCCCATGTAGCTGGGACTATAGATGCCCACCACAATGGCTGGCTGTTTTTTAGAGATGGGGGTCTCACTCTTGCTAAGGCTTGTCTCAAACTCCTAAGCTCAAGCAATCCACTCACCTCGGCCTCCCAAGTGCTGGGATTACAGGTGTGAGCTACTGTGCCACTGCCCTGTAGCCAATTTTTTAATGATAGGTTTCATGTTGACAATTTTACTTAGTTTCCTTTACCTGATATCTTGATTTTTCTGTCTTCTTGAAGAATATTTTCACTAGGTGTAGTTTATGAGTCAACAGTACTTTTCTTTTAGCACTTGAAAAATATTCATGATTCCTTCTGGCCTCCAATGTTACTAATGAAAAAAATCTTCTCTCATTAAAATTAGTTTGGCCTTACAATTAGGTGTCATTTCTTTATTGTGGCTTTCAATATTTTTTTCTTGGTGTTTAGTGTTCAGACATTTGACTATATTGTATGTTGATATGGATTCCTTGGGGTTTAGCTGAGCTTCTGGAGTCTGTAGGTTCATGTTAAATTAATTTGGCAAATTTTTCAGCCATTTTTACCTTAATTCTTTTTAGTCTCATTTCTTCTCTCTTTCTTCCCTTGATTTCTGTTGACACAGGAGTGGAGGTGAAAATGGTAGCTCCTTATTATTGCTGGACAAAGTGGGAATTCAGGCTTCTCACCTAGTCTCTAGTGGCACCACAAGGGAAAAGTTTCACTCAGAATTGAAAATCTTAGCCCCCTATTCTGCTTTCTGTGACACTTTGGGGAATAGGGTATACCTTGTTACAGCTTGATGAGAACAAAAGTCTAGGTTCTCCACTTAGCCTTTGCTGGAGTGGGTTGTGTGGTGTTGTGTGTGTGTGTGTGGTGTTTAACGTAAGTAGAGAGATTATTTTCTAAAAGGTTTCTATCTTGATAGGCTTCCCCTTTTCTCATTCCTTGGTTCAAGAGAAATAGCTTTTGTAGAGATTTTTTTTTTTTTGGTCTTCAGCTCCAATTCTGGGATATGAGGAAGAAAGAGAACCTAGAGAATTTACTACCATGTTATTCTTTGAGAGTTGGGGTCCTAGCCAGTCCTATGCTCTCCACATTTCCCAGTCATTTTATGTTTGTCTTACATATAATACCCAGGGTTTTTTACTTGTACTTAGTGAGAGAACAGGGAAAAGTACCTCTATTCTATCTTCCCATAGAAGATTACTTATCATATTTTACATTTCATATTTATCTTTAGCTATGTGCTTTTTCATTGGTAATATTAGAATATGAAGTGGGCTGAGATACAAAACAGTGATATTTCTGGTTTAAGTTTCAAAGCATACTTTAAATAATTACCTGATGAGGATAAAGAACAGTGAGTCCTAGATGCAGGAATCAATAGATGCTGGTAAGGGCCATCCTAAAGTTAATATTCTATTATTTCCACATGAAGACTTCTCTGACTAATCTCTCATGAGTTCCTCCTTTTGACTTTCTTTTGGTGATATAATTTATATTTTTTTTGTTATAATTCTGTTTTCAGTGTTTTGATCTGTCTTCCACCAAGATTACAAACTCTGAATTGAAGCTCTTTCTTGTATTTTTATTTTTATCTAAACTATTAGTCTGCATAGAACAAAGTTATGGAAAGATATTAAGACTCAGTAAACATCTTTTTGTTGATGAACTGTTAGCTCACAAACAAATTCCACTTACCCAGTAATAATAATTTCAGGATATGTTTGTGCCCCGATGTTCCAAGCTCCTCCACTGATTGGCCACTCCTAAATCAATTGTCCAAGAAGAATATATAAGGCTTTTTTTTTTTTAATTTTGAGTGTTTAGAATGAAATATTTTAAAATAATGATAAAAGGTTCACTTAAAATTACATAGCTATAAAATAATCAAGGATGAATACATAGCAATCTTTTAATTCTTTCATTGAACAAATACCTCTAAATGTACAATTCCTTCTCCTTTAAAAATATAGAATTTAACCAATACTGTCATTCTCACTCTGTAACCCAGACTAGGGTAGAGTGTTGTGATCACAGCTCACTATTCCCTCAAACTTTTAAGCTCAAGCAATTCCCCCACCTTAGCCTGTAGGTAGGACTACTGGCATATACCATAACAGTTTGCTAATTAAAAAAAAAAAAATTCTACAAATAGGGTCTTTTTATGTTGCCCAGGCTGATCTTGAACTCCTGTCTCAAGTGATCTATGTCTTAGCCTCCCAAAGTGCTAAGATTACAGGTGTGAGCCACTGTGCAGCCAGAAGTTTCTTTTGTTTTCTTTTCTTTGTTTCTTTTCTTTTCTTTTTTTTTTTTTTTTTGGAACAGAGGCTCACTTGGTCACCCTTGGTAGAGTGCTATGGCATCACAGCTCACAGCAACCCCAAACTCTTGGGCTCAAGCAATTCTCTTGCCTCAGCCTTCTGAGTAGCTGGGACTACAGGCATCTGCCACAATACCTGGCTATTTTTAAAGACGAGGTCTCACTCTTCTTCAGGTTGGTCTTGAACTCATGAGCTCAGACAATCCACCTACCTCAGCCTCCCAAGTACTGAGATTACAGGCATGAGCCACCATGCCCAACTTCAGAAGTATTTTTAATTCTACAAATACAATATCACCACATGTACCATGAAAGTATGGTTGTACCATTTAACACAGAATCTTTGTAAACAGTGACTCTTAACGTTATCCACTCACCAGCCCTGGGAAAATAATAGAATTAATATGGTTTATTACAATTATGGTAATATAATTACCATATATAATATGGTAATATGATTACCGCATATAATACTGTATGGTCTGTTACAATTGAAAATATTTGAGACTTGTAGTAAATATAACAAAAAGGAATTCTAGAATGTTGGTCAAAAAATGACTTTTAACAATTATGTCCTTGTCAGGTATGGTGGCTCATGCCTATATTCCTAGCTCTCTAGGAGACTGAGGCAGGTAGATTGCCTGCACCCAGGAGTTCAAGACCTGTCTGAGAAAGAATGAGACCCCATCTCTAAAAAATAGCCGGGCACTGTGGCGGGCACCTGTAGTCCCAACTACTTGGGAGGCTGAGACAAGAGGATCACTTAAGACCAACAATTTGAGGTTGGTATGAGCTATGATACCATGGCACTCTACCAAAGGTGACAAAGTGAGACTTTGTCTCAAGAAAAACAAAACAAAATAAAACACAATTATGTCCCTTAAACTATTGATTAATAAATGATAAGAAGAAATGGCTTGATTTTCTTAACACATAATCCTCCACCTAGAATATTTAAAGGTTATAGTTTATGATTCAAATGTATTAGTTTAAGTACATATTAGTATATAAATTTACATGATAGATAAGTATATCTTAGTATATATAGTTAGTGTGTGAGAAATTTATATTTCTCTAGATTTAAGGCTATGTAACATTTAGGAGACTTGAATTTTAGAAGTTGTATCTTTAATAGATGTTATTTTATGACTTCAAAATAATTTAGTTCAATTCTTCTTACATGGAAAGTCAACACATATAGAAGTAAAATGTAATGTATATTAAGGGGGGGGGGTGAGGAATGGGTAAATTCACACCTAACAGGTACAATGTCCAATTTCCAGGTGAAAGGTATACATATAACCTTAACTTAAAATGTACAAAAGCAAATTGTGACCAAAATGTGTATACCCTGTAATATTATAAAATTTAAAAAAAGAAAGGAAAATAACAGGAAAAAATATAATCATGTAATATGAATATAAGAAAAGTTATTTATAATTTCTAATTTTACCTTATTACTGTATCCTTGTTTTTTATGCTTTACTCCTATAGAATAGAGCACTAGAATCAAATCTGGAGGGCAGTCAGCAAAGTATGCAGTGCATGTAACTGGTGATTCATGAATGTCCATGGGATATGGATTTTCAAAGATCGGAAAACTAACAAAGAAAGGCAATATATTAATGTCATTTTGCAAAGATAAAAAGCATGAAATAATTTTAATAAAGTATACCCTAAAATGTTTCTAAATATTAATTATAAATTTCATTTAATTTTTTTCTGAGCACAATAGAACATGGTTATATGAAAAAGAATGCTCTTTTTAAAACAGCTATCTATAAAATGTAATATTAATACTTATAGAATTTTACTCAAATTCATTTTCTTCCCCTAATTCCAGCATTTCACAGTGATACATCTTTGCTAGTATGGATACATAAATTAAGCTGAAAACATTATACGATTATATCAACTAACCATTTTATGTATATCTTTAAATATTTATATATATAAATGTTAAAATAGCAGTACATTTTGTAATGTTTTTCAAAGAAAGTGCTATACTTTGGATATTTGTCCCTTCCAAATTATGATGAAATTTGACCTCAATGCTGGAAGTGGAGGTGAATGGGATGTGTTTGGGTTATGAACATAAATCCCTTATGAATAGATTAATGCTGGTCCCTCAGGGGTGAATTCTTACTCTTGGTTACTGTGAAAGCTGGTTGTTAAAAAGAGCGTTACTGCCCTGCCTCCTCCATCTTTCTTTTTTTCTGTTTTTCCATGTGATCTTCACACATACTGGCTTCCCCTCATCTTCTGCCACGAGTAGAAGCAGCCTGAGACCCTCACCAGAAGCAGATGCTCAACCTTGGACTTTCTAGACATTATCATTCTAGTAGAATAATAAGCTAAATAAACATTTTTTCTTTATAAATTACATAGCCACAGGTATTACTTTCAGTAACACAAAATGGGCTAAGACAAAGAAACTATATATAGGCAATTTAAAATTTTTTAGTTTTTTTACAGATGTAAAATATGTGTTGTATCTGGGCATGTATTTGTGTGAGAGCATTTTTAAAAGATCATTTCCTAGGTAAACTACAAGATATAATTAGAAAGAAGATTTATGGATGCAACAAATTTCATATCTTCAACACTTATAATAAACTTTTAAAAACATGAATACAGACTCAAAAGTTCTTGTAGGTATTTAGAACTTCATATATGCCAGGGAGTACACTAGGAGGAAATGGATATTATTCTATGCTACTGCTGTTCTGGTCTGTGTGATCACATTACTTCTAATAACAATGAGCTTTATTTTAGTGGGGGTGGCTATTAAAATAATCTCACAATGTTATAAGGAGTTAGGAATTTAGTCCAATCCTCAGATAATATGGGGGCAGTGCTTTTGGTTTGGATTCTTTTTCTGTCAATATGAAATCTTGCGTATGGTATCTCATATAAAAATTGTTTCATATGCAAAATTAGGTGCACAGGAGCAAGCTATGTTCAGTAAACAACATAGAGGTTAAACAAGATGGATCAGAGATGCCCTGTTTCAGAGAAGAAATTATTGAGATTAAAAAGTTAGAAGTAAGAAAAATCGGTTACCTTGAAGACCAGAACTACAACTTGGGATTTGATGATATCAAGGATAAAAACAATGGCTCCTGACAATATGAACACTATACTGAAAATGTTTGGGAAAAATTATTTTAGTACATTGGGGAAAGTAAGTAAAAAAGATATTCACAAGAGAGACAACAACAAATTTACAAAAAGAATTTGAATGTAAAATGTAAACTAGTTGCTACAAAAACAGAAATAAAGATATGAATCCAAGAAACTGAGAAGAAAAAAATTGTAAGCCCTAATGCTTCTTTTCATGTTGAGGATTAAGTTTAAAAAAACAAAAAGAAAAAAAAACTTGAAAAGGACTCCAAAGTTACAACTTGTTTAATATTCAACACAGCTATAAGGATACTATTTGGAGGGAAAGAGAATATGTTCAGGTTTTGACATATGAAATTTTATATAATATCCAATAAAATGGTAATATCACATAGATTTTAATACATGGTGCTAAAGAATGTAAAATGTTAGATAAAAATTTGCAAACAAAATAATTCACATACATACATAAGGTAATGAAAAGTACACAAATGTATAAAATGGTAATGTTTATGTTATGCAAATTTTATAATAAAAAACTATAATGAAAAATAAATATATATACTTAAGAAGGCATGTATCAAAAGTGCAGTGGATGTCAGACAATTAAACAATGTAAAAAGAAACAATAAATATGATACATGTACAGAAAGAAAAGTTGAATCCAATGAGGCAAAAAAATACATTTTTAAATGAGACCTATATTAGCACTTCTTAGATGAAGAATCATAAATCTATATATATGTGTGTGTGCATATAAAATTTAATCAAGTTTGTTGCTGATAAATAGGGCAGCTAGTCATAATTCACAATTAGGATGATTTTATGGCCCAAAATACTACATCTCCTAGAAAATAATGAGAGATTATATGCTACAAATTATCATAAAAAAGAACTCTGACTCTTATATATACAAGTTACATGGAAAGTAGAATTCAGATTATAATTTACATAACAAAAATTTATTCAGTGCCTGCTCTCCTTCATAGGGACTAGAGTCTAATAATAGAGAGACAATCTTTAAGCAACAACAAATGGAAATCATCACAAATTCATTTGTGTCAAAGGCTACAAAAAGAAGAATGTGGATCATATGAGAGCCTATTCTAAGATATTTGACCAAATTGTATAGGTAATAAGAGATTCTTTTTTTAACTAGGAAGTAATATCTGGCTTGAGATTCTTACAGATAAGATGCTAACAAGAAGAAAAAGGGAAGGAAGATTATTCCAGGCAGAGGAGAGAGAGACTGGGAAAAATTCTGCTACAAATAGAAGGTGCTAAGAGATTGGTGTGTCTAGAATTTATAATGAGGAAAAATTAGCTTCATTCTATCATTCCTAATGGAAATGTGTACCAAGAAGACAGCAACCATCAATTTCAAGTTTACTTCTACCGTCAGTATAAAGGAGTAGCGAGCACAGCAGTATTCCCTATTTGTTTCTATTGTCTATAATGTAATGAAAAAGGAGGGTTCCCATCTTCTCCGCTACCAAGATCCTGGTAAGAGGGTTCCCATCTTCTCTGCTACCAAGATCCTGGTCTTCTATATCATCTGATATAGTTTGATAATACATTTATCATGTGTCATTTTCATTTTAGTCAGTAGACTTGCAGGTGGACAATTATTTTCATAAAATTGCTTTTGCTTAAGGATGTCATAAATGCAATCAACTTTATGTGTCCTGAGTCTCTGAATACTTCTATCTAAATATCAGTTGCTGCCTTTAAGACATCTAATAGTTCTCTCAATGATACTCAAACTCTCCTTGTTTAGTTTTCATCATTGAGCCAAATTACATTTCTATAATTCTATCAAAAGAATATTCACATAAAGAATATTTGCTAAATTTATTTAAAGAATAGCAATGCCAATTATATAAAATTTGTTCTTTTTTGTTACAAACAGAGTTTTAAAATTATGTTAATCAGTATATGGATAACTTACTTGCTTTGTGTCAGGTCAACGACAATGAGATCTTTCTCCAGAAGTACTACAACAGCATAGGGTTCCTGAAATTCTACAAGTAAAAACAAAAAAATTAAAAAGTTTTCATATTATGTATTTTATAAAATCACCAAAATTTCAATTTCCTTTATCTCTTGAACAAATGTTATTTCAATGATTTGGGAAGATTAAACTATGAATCAAAGTAAGAAGTAACAAGGGCACTTTACAAGAACAAATATGTGCTATGTTGTCAAAATAAATGTTGAGATCACTACAGAGAACAAGGAAAAAATGAAAAGTTGCATTGTATAGAATTAAATATATCTCAATCATCATGGGATTGTAAGTAGAGGACTATGTGAACAGAGTGAATCTGTTACCTAATCTCATAAACACTTGTTCTGTTCTTCTATAACCTTAGTATTTTATTTAATAGATCTGATTTCATGCTTACAATATTGTGTACTAAGGAAATAGTTTTGCTTCCCTGGGATATGACACATGTTCATCCCCATGAGAGCAATACTGCTTACACTAAAAAGTTTACTTTCAATTTAGTGTAATTTAAAATGTACTTATAGACTGCCTATTAATTGTATCTAAGAAAGATACAGTGTAATTTAAAATGTACTTATAGACTGCCTATTAATTGTATTTTTCTTAGATACAATTAATAGGCAGAATGTGAGTATAGGCTAAGATTTTTAAGTTCCTATATTTAACCCCCTCTCTCCCTTTTCCTTCCTTCCTTCACTCCTTCCCTCCCTCCTTTTTTTCCTTCCTCCTTCTCTCCTTTCTTTCCTCTTTCCTTCTTCCCATACATTCCAGAAACTGTTTTAAGAACAAAAGATATATAAAGAACAAGACTGACATGAAACTTGTTCTCATGGAGTTTATATTTGATGGATGTTTAAAACCGTGAACAAGTAAACAAGTAAGGATTAAAAGTAAGGTGAAGTATAAAAAATAATGAGGGTGTGGCCTAAAATGATTTATGGTTGGATGAGGTGGTGGTCTAGTGTAGAGTGACCATGGAAGACATGCTTTCCATCTATAATAATAGGAAAAAGCCACAGTGACAGAGTTATTCCTAATTTAAGGGAAAGGTATTCATAAAAACATTTTACATACATGACATTATATTTTCAGTAGCTATAGAAGTTACTGCTATTTTTCCATTTCACAGAGAAAAATGAAGTACAAAGAGATTAAGAGATTGAGAGGAGGTTATACAACTAGTATGTGATAGAGCTGAAACCTTAACCATTTAGAGAAAATTTAGAGAATTCCTGGCTCTAAATTTCCTTTTTTGTTATTATTATTATACTAGAAGTTTTTACTAGCAAGTTTGAGAGGTATTTAATACTAAAATAAATAATCACTTGGCAGGACTTTTTTTCAGAGGATTCAAGTCTTGGATGGGAAAATGAAATACTGGAATAGATGGCCTTCATAGTTCTGAGAAAATACAGAATCTAGTCATGCCTATGTTTACATCTCACATGCATATAAGAGAAAAACTAAAACACACACACACACACACACACACACACACAAGCAGATGTACATGCACATGCAAAAACCAGAAGTATAGGCATTAGTGCTTGTTACTTGGGTATGTATCTATGTGACAGTAGTCTATATACTGTTCGCTACTGAAACTATTCTCAAACTGAGACTTTCCCTCTGCTCCCCATCTCTTAAAGCTGTTTTAAGGTTTTCAGCATTGTTTCAATATTCTTAGGGTTTGGGGGTTTTTTGTTTGTTTTTCAATTTGCAGAACAATGGGGCTTAATACAACTAGTTATTTCTTCTTTGTCATCTCTTAGAAAAATCACTGGGTAGGAAGCAATTTCTACAAAAATAAAATATCTGAGAACCTGTCATGAATTATCTAATATCATAAATGGATAAATTATCACTTTAGGTATAATAGTTATATCTGTTTTAGATTATTGTTTCTGTACAAATGACACAAACGGGCAGAAGTGTCAACTTTTAGAAGTATCTTGTATGCTGCAATGACTAGTGAATAAAAAACTTTCCTTAGGAGTCAGTGTTAAGTTCAATTCTATGTGTATAATTTACTAAAAATTTGATCTTGAGAAGATTAACTTCTTTGATCTTTAATTTATTTACTCATTGAAATGGCACAATGAAAACTACCTTAGACTGTTATGAAGATTAGATAAAATGAGGGATATGAACACGTTTAAAGCAAAACCTGGCATATAGTAAGTGCTCTGTAGATGGCAACTATATTACTTCCTTTATTGGATTGGTTTATTTCTGAGCAAGCTGGGTCTTTTTTCAACCCTACCCCTGAACAGGGTGAAAAGCCTATCATAAATAATACTTCTCTGAAGAGAACTGCAGTATTTATGGGGCTGGAAGAGGACTAGATACAGTTAAATCAGATGTGAAACTGACAAATTCTAGTCTGTTAATTACTCTGTTATGACCCTCAGCTAAGAGCATTAAAGCATTTGTGTTCTCTGTAAAATGGGTTGAATTATGAGATAACAAAAATGATTCAGAAATATTAAAAGTTTTTGATAAATTTGTTTTGTTTGATATATGTATAAAACATCACTATGTGGTTGTAAAGAAGATTGAAGTTTCATATTTATTTCATATTTACTAATACGAAATTGTAATTTTAACACACCATTAAGTGAAAAAGGTATGATAAAGAACAATACAGAAAGAATGCTATCAATTGTACAAAAAAGATAGTATATACATAAATGAGTATGCAATTGTAGAATTATCTGGGGAAGAATATGCAAAACCTTAGTAACATGCATTGCTGGTTGACAGTGAAAAACGTTTCATTATGTATTATCATGTATTATAGAGTTTATTTTTTTCATGTACAACTTAATAGTTAAAAACACATTTAAATACAGTCATGTGAATCTTAACCATGAGGATATATTCTGAGACATACATTGTTAGGTGATGATGTCATTGTGTAAACATCATAGAGTATAACTGCACAAACCTAGGAAGGATAGCCTACTATACACCTAAGCTATATGGCATGGCCTATTGCTCCTAGGCTAGTAATCTATAACCTGTACATCATGCTACTGTATTAAATACTGGAGGCAACTGTAACATAATGGTAAATATTTGTGTATTTAAATATAGAAAAAATACAATAAAAATACTATATGAAAATGGTGCACTGATACAGAGCAGCTCCATTATAATCTCATAGGACCAACATCTTATATGTGGTCTGGCATTGACTGAAACATCGTTATACATTACATGTCTGTAGTTAGGAAAAGACATTTATATTTTACTGAGTAAAGTTAAATTACTTCTAGACTCTGACACATGAAAAATCCTGTTCTTATACCACTTTTCTGAAAAACAAAAGATTTATATATGTGGCTTTGAAAGTAAATAGGAATGGTTACCATGCATTTATTGAACATCACTAGAAATTGTCCTAACATCCCTACTGATGTGCAGAAATTTACATACACACAGACATATAGAATACAACTTTTGTAACCACAAATTCTCAGCGTCTATTGCTGGTACATCTTTTTCCTCAGGGCTCTTAATAAGAGGCATTTTCCTAGGCTCAGCTTTTGGTCTTCTTTCTTCCTATATTCCTTCATCATTCATTTTTGCAACTTCAAAAAACAATTATATTTTGATGATTCATAAATAAATATATTCAGGATGATAAATATATATAAGCATCTCTCCCCCTGAAGACCATTCTAATTACTCCCCAAATTGAAATAAATCACTAACCACACATCAGCAATCATAGAGTAACTAGAGGTGCTGCAGTTACATCTGAGGCAAAGCCAGCTATGAAACAGATGCAGCACCACCAGAGTTACAGATTACTGATATCAGGTAAGTGCTTTAACTTTGATTGGCTTTGGGATGGGATGGGTGGAGCTGGTCTAGGAGAAACTATTAGGAGACCTCAGTTTCCCCAAGTGCTTTCACCCCAAACCCCTATCAGACCCTCCCAGCTCAGCCTCCACCATCCTAATCAAAGTTTAAAGCACTTACCTGATGTTAGAACCTGAAATGCCAGGGCTGCTGTACTATATCTGTCTTACTTCCAGTTTGTGAAGTAGTACACTTGCAGAACCTGCTCCAGCACCTGTAGCTCACAGTCTTACATCACAATGGATGTCTGCTGCCAAAACTGAAAATATTTTACCTTAATTTTGTTAGAAACTTTTCATTTCAAAAATGATTTTTTAACATTAATAGTTTCACTTTAATTACTTACCGTTTGGATAGGGTGTTTCACATAAAGTTAGAAATTCAACAATAGGATGATCCATTTCAAGTACTGTAATTGCTTTTCCATGCATGATGGTTAAACTTGGTCTTCTGCTAGCTTTGTCATAGGACAGCCCACCAGAGAATATTATGAATGGTTCACTACACAGGAAAAAAAGTTAATGAAACAGAGGAATTCCTTTCAGATGACACAAAGTCATAGGACTAAGTCTATAAAGATTATATACAGTGTCATTTGACAGAGAGTAAAAGGCTTACTTGGTCCCAAATTTCTCAATAGACAAACTCTTATTCTACCATTTCCCCTATTCTAGATGATCCAAATTACTAATGGATCAGTCTAAAGATGTTAGGGTAAGGCTGGAAAAAGGCAGTGAGATTGGAAGGAGGTAGAGAAGTTCACTGACTTTCAAAAATATATCTTCACATGCATTAGTTAGTCCTCAAACTCAAAATCACTATTTTTAGAATATGAGTCCATGGTAGAATATCAGATTAACAAGTTGGCATGTGGGGTCTGAAACATGACAGTGGAAAGCCCAAAATGAAGAGAGTAACACAAAAATTCTAGATAATGGAGTTATGTGCACAAATAAAAAAGAGTTATAGTAAAAAGTGAAAGAAGCTAATATATAGGAGAAAAATAGTACATCAAAGATAAATTGTCTTCTTGGTTTTACTTATGACCAGCTAGCTCTATTTATTTTGCTCAACTAACTTCAAACAAAATTTTTATAGTCTATTAGTTTGCAAGAGACAGTTATATAGTAGAGTGAGGTTGAGATGACTATAAAATATAGCTTTATGAAATAGATTCATAATTTTTGACTTTTATTTTCTAAAACCAATACCTATATATCTCTAGTGTATATACACAAAAGAAAAAAATGTGTTGATGTGAAGTGTTTTCAAGAAGTAAATATCAAAGTAAAAATATTTTTCTCCAAATTTTTAAAAAATAGATACTTTTATTGTAGTAAATTTCTCTAGATTTTGAAAAGCATTTCTAATATAGTTCTTGAAACAGCATGAGTTTTTCTTCCTTTGTTGTTTTGTTTTGCAAAAAAATTTTATGATTTAGAGAATGTAGTATCTTTTTATAATATTAAGTTTATCTATTATAAATATTAATGAAGACCACAAATATCATCTTATTAATGTGTAAAAGTAGGGACATTGATTCTCATCCTTACAACAGTAATTAAGAGCAATTTACTCCCCCCCTTTTTTGTATATACATTGCCTCTTTAATATTAGAAGGGAGCAAAACTCCCCACTCCCTTCAGGGTTGGGTAAGGTGTCTTTTTTGTGCTCCTCTATGGCATGTCTCTGTAAAAGTATCTTAAATTTTGTACAGAAACCACTAGTTTATGACCTTGCCTCTGCTAGTAGAATATAACAAATTCAAAAGGAGGAAGCAATGTCATTTCAGAATGCCAAACAAATTACACAGTTCATGGTATAGAGTAATACCAATACATTTTATTCTAACTGAATATTGTTAACAGCCTCAAAGAAATATATTTGTACCAATACAAGAGATGTTATTAAAGTCTATGTATCTGTACTTTATCATGGAGAAACCTCTCAGGCCTTCACATCAATCTATTTATTCTCATTTTACAAGTTTATCTTTTAAGTATCTTAGCCTAAGATATAAACAAAAGACTGGATATAACAAAATGTAAATATATGATGTCATGGTAGCCCAACACTGAAGGAAAGAGAAAAAATTTCAAAAAGAAATATCCTAGTGAAAAGGAAAAACAAAACAAAATAATACAAGCTGTTAGGTATAGTTAATATAGTACATTGTACCTCAATAACCCTTGAGGTACAACACTATATAATAAGTAATATAAATACATATTATTGAATTTAAAGACTTAAGCAATGTTTAAATTATAAGAAATGTTTTAAGAAGAAAAGTATATGTAATATATATTTCCCATTTATAGTATTTGAAATATTTTCATACTTTAGTTATAATGGCATGAAACTACAGTCATTTTTACCAATTAATGCATAGTCACATTAGGCTAGGCAAAGGAGACATGATATGTATTTAAAGTAGCTGGTTAAAAATGACCATAATTTTATACTACTAAAACTTTAGAAGACTAGGCATATACAAATATTTAATATACCTATGATACCAAGACAATATTCTAATATGACCATACAATTTAATAAAGTAGGATTTATATTTAGAGTTAAAATAGAGTTAAAGTTAGAGTTAAAATAAAGTTAATATTGAGCCAAGTTTTATTATGGCAATTCTGAATGAGAATATTGCCCCTAAAAATTACTTCAAGTAAAAAGGAACATTATTAATGTACAGGATATAGCCACTATGAATACAAGATAATGTTTTCTTAAATATTATTATTTTAAAAATTTCTATGTCTTAAAATTTAGTACTTTTTTATGCCAATATACATTATTTTCTCTTTCTAATTAACTGTAATCTTTCCAACTTTAGAATGTAAACTCCTAAAGTTCAGAGTCTTGGTTATATATTTAATTCTTTCAGATGAAATATCAATAGTCATATAGTTTCTGCTATGAAACAAGTTTCTGCTATGAGACAATACTGCTACTTATAATGTGCATGGTCAGAAAAGTCCTCTATTGTTAGAATTTATATATATAATACTTATCTAAATTCTTATTAAGAATTTTGAAGTAATTAACATATTTATTATATTCACAATAATCATAGATATGCCTACTAAACAATAAAAAGTTATTATTTATGAAGAAGATTCAGCCAGATACTATATTTATCATTATGTAAAATTTCAAATAATATATTAACATTGAAGGTTATCTGCCTTTCTTGTCTCTGCTTCTTACTTTTAAAGTAAAAATGCATACCTGTTTCTGCAGGTCTTGTATTCTACTTTAAGAATTGGTTTACAAGACTCAGATTTTCTTCCTTCTCTTTGACTTTTTCCTAAGGAAAGAGAAAGATTTTACTAAATATAATTTAAATTCTAATCAAATATAAGGATTGAAAAGTTTTAAATTAAAGGAATGGTAAAGAAAAAAAGAATAATAATGTAATTATGTGTTTGTTGTAATAGGATATACACAAGCCCATGTCGTAATATTTTTAAAATTTAATTTTCAATAGAATCATAACTATATACATTTATAGTGTATAATATGGTAATTTGATATACAATGTGGAATGTTTAAATCAAACTTATTAACATAATTATAACCTCACTTATTTTTTGTGGTAAGACATTTATAATTTACTCTTATTTTGAAATATATCCTTGCACTATGCACATTAAATGAGATCCTACAAACTTCCCTCCCTCTTCCCACCAATCAGCTTTTCCCTTCCTCTTCCCTCTCTCCCCCCCCCACCATTGTTAAGCTATATTTGTGTATTTGTGTTTTATTATTTGTATAAGAGTGTGTTTATATATCGGTTTCATAATAGTATTGAGTACATTGGATACTTTTTTTTCCGCTCTTGGGATACTTTACTAAGAAGAATATATTCCAACTCCATCCATGTAAATAAAAGATGCAGAGTCACCATCTTTTTTATGGCTTAATAGTATTCTACAGTATACATATTCCACAATTTGTTAATTCATTCATGGGTTGAGAGGCATTTTGGGTACTTCCATGACTTGGCAGTTATGAACTGGGCAGCAAAAAACATTCTGGTGCAAATGTCTTTGTTGTCTTTGTTTCATTCTTCTGGGTAGATACCTAGTAATGGTATCCTGATATTTTTCTTGGATTTACAAACAACTTTTAGAGTTCTAACAATTGACTGCTACATAATTAATGAAATTATTTATAAAATTATTCAACTTTAATTGCTTTACATTTTCCACATATAAATCTACTTCCATCTAAAGTTATTTCAATTATCTAAGTTTGAATATAAAATAAACAAGTTTAGAATTGAAGACACATACACATCTGTGCTTATATACATACACAAATGTATTACTGTTACTATGGCTTGAATGTGTCCTCCCAAGTTCATATGCTGGAAACTTAATCACCAATAGAACAGTGTTGAAAAAAGGGACTTTTAAAAGGTGATTAGGTTATGAGGGCTCTACCCTCATAATTGGATTTTCTGTTTATTATGAAAGTGGGTCAGTTATCATAAGAGTTAGTTTCTGATAAAAGTATGATTTTGTCCACCTTTCCTCTTTTGCATGGTCTCTGGCCATGTGATACCCTCTGCCATGTTAAGATATAGCAAGAAGACCCTCATCAAATGTGGTCCTTCAATCTTGGACTTCAGCCTTCAGACTTGGGAGCCAAATAAACCTTTATTGTTGATAAATTGTTTATAAATTACCTAGTCACTGGTGCTCAGTTAAACAGCATAAAACAGACCAAGATAATTATAAATAACTATACTAGGTTTGATATTTTATCTATAACACATCCAACTCCCTTTCATATGTGGAAAAACTTTTCATTGAAAGCATGTAATTGGCTC